CCTGGCCTCCCCGCTGTCTTATCTTTTCTTTTTCATAGTGTCCATGTCTTTGCTCTTTATCTTTAAATTTTGTAAGAGGTTCTCCAAGTTGTTCTCCATGTTTCTGCATCAGTACTCTACAGCATCATTTCTCTGTGTTGCTTCCAAAGTGGATTTTAATGGCACTACTGCAGTTTTAGATCTTTTAACTTTATTTCTCCAGCTCTTCTTTCTCTTATGAATCACCCTTCTTGTGTCATCATATGGCTTTTTCAGCTCAGCATTGTCTCCCTAGTGGCTGTCTCCTCCTATTTCATAGAGGTTGTGTCTTTTTAGAGATTTTTGTAGTCTTCTGTGCCCATTTGGTCACTTATTGTCTATGGCTATTTTGAGGTACTGTGGTACCTCAAAGTCTAAAATTTTTACAATTTGACCCTTTGCAGAAACAAATATTGCAGATTCTTATACAAGTGTGATGGCTGGACTCCCATGTCAGATTTGAGGAGGTTGGCAGGAGAATTGACACATCTCCACCTCCAGTTCCTAGTTCCTGCCATCCATCATCTGGATTCTGTTCTGTGAAGTTGCTGCCCTTCCCTTTCCTCCACTGCCTGATTGTCTGATTCTCCTCATCAGTGACTTAGATAAAAATACAAGTTCAGAAATGCACCGCAACCATTGTCCTTCCTGTTTCTACCCTTCCTTAAACTTTCCCTCCCTGGAGGAGGGATTATCTCCAGTGCCCCACCCACTTCCCTCCCGCTGGTCTTCTGGTCCTTGTCTCTCTGTTGTCCTCCCTTTTTCCAGCATCTTTCCAGCTGTGTCTTGAGGTAAAACCTGAACAGGTTTTGCTTATTCCACCATCATCTGCTTTTAATTAATAGAGATTGCTCCCAGATTTCAGCATTGGGTCATCATCAGTTTTGTTTTTGGTGTTAGTGTGAATTTTCAGTTTCTTATTGTCTTCATAGCTATTTCGGGAAAAAACAAGGAGAAGCTACGTGAATGGTTGCCAAATAGATGCCATTTTGAAGAAGGAGTCAGACCTGTGGTTTGTTGGTCTTGAGGCAGTCGCTGTAGCTCTGTGTGTGTTTGATAAAGGAAGAACATACAGGAACATTTTTCTTATCCAGGGGCCACTTGTCCGATGACTTCAGCTATATGGAATACAACCTAAACAAAGAGTCCACAAGCAGCCAAATAGCTGTCACAGGGTCCATGTTCCAAAGGCGATTCACTTTACCCAAAGGAGGACATTTAAGTCTTTCCTTCCCAGCTTATTTACCTGTATTTTATATATAGTTCCATCAACCCTGGTCTTTCTGTTTTCCTAACAAATCTGAAGGGATTAGGGGACATTTGGACATTTTGCAACAAGAACACTAGCCTTACAAGAATTTCCAGCTGACAGAAAGGAAAGACATAAATCAATCTCTCTCTCTTTCTCTCTTTCTCTCTCTTTCTCTCTCTCTCTTTCACACACACACACACACACACACACACACACACACACACACACACCAAACATAACTACAAATGCTCAGGGACTGACATAATTTTCTTTCAGGGCAAGCAGTTTGAGCACTCTCCAGTTTGAGTGAAAAACCACCTATCCAGGCCTTTCCTCTGCCAAGCTAGTTGTTCTGTGCAAGTTATAGGTACAGAGACCATCACCACCTCCCACAGTGGGTTCAGACAGTGGTTCTAACCCTGGCTGCACATTAGAATCACCTGGGAAGCATCAAAAATCCAGACACTTAGACCGGGCATGATGGCTTCATGCCTGTAATCCCAGCACTTTGGGAGGTGGAGGATAGAGGATTGCCTGAGCCTAGGGGTTTGAGACCAGTCTGAGCAACTTGCCAAGACCTCATCTCTACAATAAATCTAAAAGTTAAGCCAGGCATAGTGGCGTGTGCCTGTATTTCCAGCTACTTGGAAGGCTGAAGTGAAAGGATTGCCTGCTCAGCAGGTCAAGGCTCTGGTGACCATGAGCATGCCACTGCACTCCAGCCTGGGTGATAGAGTGAGACTCTAACTCGAAAAAAAGGGGGGGGGGTGTCTAGAAATTAACCCACTGTCTAAATCAAGGCAATCAAAATCCCCTGGGAGTGGGACCCAGGTGCCCATGTTTTTGAAAGTTTCCAGTCAGGATGGGAACCATGGGATGGAAGCAGGGGTGCTGCAGCCAGTTTGCCTCATAAGGGTTGCGACTTTGGGCAAAGGAGTCACCAATATCTCTGTGCCTTAAATTCTCCTCTCCAAAATGGGGCCTGACTGGAAGAGTGGAGAGGAGAGCTCAGAAACCACTAGAACAGTGCTGGACACCTTGTTGGTACTATGTGAGTAGCCATCGTTATTGAGATGCAGGCTTTAGATATTCGTGGTGATGACTATGATTTGTCAAGCAGGGTCTGGGAGCTCACTCTAATTAGGCAGTGATGGATGCTGCACATTCTAGGTTGATTTCTGTCCCAGATGGACACTTGGCTCTTGAGAGGACAGCTGTAGAAGTCACTAGGCTTGGACAGTGATGTTGAAGGAGCAGGGATAGGTGGTCCCAGGACTCACCTGCTTCTCTTTTGTCCCTTAGTGTGGGGCTTACCTTGGGCAAGCCATTCTGAAACATTTCTAAGCTCTCATTTTTAAGCTGGAAGCAGCAGTTCCCCCTCCCCCACCCCAGAGCCTTCCCTGAGGCTCAAAGGAGCTGACATGCTCTGAGGCACCCTCCTGGCCCACCCTGGGGCTATCCACCTCAGAGCTGAGACAGAGGGTGCATCTGGACCCAGGGGAAACAGGGTGGGAGGGATTTCCTCCTGATGGGAAATGAAAGCACTGACAATGGCTTTCGTCAAACCTAACAGTGAGGCAAGGAGAGTAGGTTCAAGGCTGTCTCTGCGACAACCTCACTCAGCACCACTTGCATTCCAATTCACTTCCCTAAGTGGAGAGAGCAGGAAAGGATTCCAGCCAGTTTGCCCAGGACCGCCAGGACTTACGCACAACCTGGGTTCAGCCAGGGCAGTGGCTTTACTATGAGCGTCATCTTTCCCTGAGCTGGCAGCAGCGTGGGCTGGAGCGGCTGCTCCCAATAAGTGTGGCAGTGGTGATGATGGTGGTGATGGCCATTGATTTGTGTGTTTGGACTGCCATCACCTCTCCCCTTGACTTCTCAGGTTGGACCACGGTGGAGTGAGGGTCACTCTTTCTGAATAACTCAGTCCCTGCACCCCAAGCAGTCCCTACTTCAATAACCAACCAGCCCTCCAGCTGGTAGGAAAGATGGGAACTGTGGTCTCCAGTGCTGCTGTCCTGAAGGGGCTGCAAAGGTTCAGAACACAGGAGAGCAGGAAGGGGGACTGTTTTTCTCCCGTTTCCTGAGACTTATTCCTAACTAAGGTCCCCAAGAGGCTGGCACAAGAAGCAGTGAGGGGTCTGCCAGGTCCATAACCATGGTAATGGGATGGAGCTGCATTGACTATAAATGAGGTACCCTTCAGTGTATCCTGGGACCTCAGAAGAGCCCATTGCCTTCACGGGGCCAGAGGCTGGCTCTGGGGAGGGCTCCTTTGAATGTTCCCTACAGATCTAAGCCCTGGCTGAGATGTCTGCCCAGGCTTTGCCCTGTGCTCCTACACAAATCACTCCTTAACCCACCTTGGACTTGGTTTTCCCCCTGTAGGTTGGGGGACTGCCCTGTCTCTGGGACAATCATGTGTGTGCACACACATGTCGAATCTTTCATTTCCCTGGTCTTCTTCCTCCCGCCCCTCACCAGGATACACATCCAACCTACTCACTCTCACCAGCCCATGCCAAGGTTGCTCCTAGGACAGGCTGGGCCCCTGGAGCCCCAAGCCAGTTCCACAGCAGTCTGGGAGTTGCTGACATACAGGGCACCTCTCATCCCCAGCTCTGACCTCACCACTCTGCTCACACTGAGAGGGAATCTAATGGTGTTCATGGAGAGAGAGCAAGGGATGCAGAAATCCTGGCATCTCACACCTGAGTTCAAATTCCGGCCTTGGCAGTAGCTATTCATGATGCATTGGGCAAGTGGCCTGCCCTCTTTGGGCCTCAGTTTTTTTTGTCTGCACAGTGAGAACAACACACATCTAAGAAGTTGAATGAGATCCCACCCTCAAGTAGTGGGGACAGTGCAGACTGGGGAGATTTGTTGGGCCTCTGTGGCAGGCTGGGGCATTGCACGAAGGTGTCACACATAGACTTAACGAAGGAATTGCATCACCTTGTCCAAAGAACAGAAATCGCTGGCAGGGAAAGGCCATGGTTGGGCTGAGGTGGGAAGTTGCATTTGGGGGGTTGACACAGGCCCAATGGCTGGCAGGCCTGGTGCCCTACACATCTTGCCCAGCTCTCACTTGGGCCCTGGAAGCCCCCAAAGTGATCCCTGGTGGGCACAGGCCCAGCAGCCCTGGCTCTCAGCAGTAGGGCCCATTAGAACTGAACTCTCCTTCGTGGGGCATTTTATTTGCACACTCCAGTAGAGTGGACACCAAAGGGGTTTTCTAATGCTTCATGGGCTGCTAATTTCCTCTGTGACCTCTTTTGTTGGGACCTGACCCCAGCTAGAGGCTCTGTGCCATGAAAGCCAGCGCCTGACACAGACCCAGGGCGCGGGGTGACAATGAGGCCTCTATCGGCTTTAATCAGGCTCCAGTTGTGTCTTAAGAACAGGGGGAATCTGTGTGGTGCTTCGAAGCCCTGGGTGGCACAATACGGGAGCCCCCCGAGTCTCTCACGGCGGCCAAGGCGGCTGCAGGCAGCGGCTAAAGGATTTGTCAGGCCGGGGAGGGGGCGGGTGGGTCAGGCGGGGGCCCTTTGTCCCTCAGGCCTCTTTAGAAGACCGGGCTTACCCTGAATGGCCGCCCGCCCGGCCTGGCCCATGGGTATCACAGGCCTTTCTGGGTATTTAGGGAGGCGGCCTCCCGCTCTGCCCGCCAGCCTATTCATCGCCAGCCTAATTAGTTTTTGTCTGTGCTCCCCCCACCCCCCTGCAGACTGTGATTCCTACTGCAAGGCCTCCAAAGGGAAGCTGAAGATTAACATGAAAAAGTACTGCAAGAAGGACTATGGTGAGTGGGCGTCCCTTGTCTGGGGAGGAGGGGAGGAGGTCCCATGACCAGTGAGGAGCTGGGGTTGGGGTGCAGGTGGCCCCAGGCGGTGTTGGTCCTGGAGTTCCTGTGACCAATGGGAAATAGCTGGACAGAGCCCATGCCTGGGAATTTCTCATCTCTTCCACCCTGGCCCTCAGATGGGGGCGGAGGGGGCCCAGAAGCCCAGGTTCTCCCTCTCGCTCTGCAGAAAGGCCTCTGGGCTCGTGGGGCCCCCTAAAGCCGGGATGCCCAGGCTGGCCCCTGGCCTTTGCTCTGCCCCTAATGGGCTGTGTGGCACAGACCAATCTCTTTACTTCTCTGGTCTTCTGTGTCCAGCATCTGGACCATGGGTATTCAGCCTGAGGCCATGTCGTTCAAAGTGAAGCCCTCCAGGAGTGAGAAAGCAGTGAGAGCTTCCAGATGTGTTTCAGATGTTCCACCAGACCTCACTGGGGCTGGGGAATCTGCATTTTAAACGGCACACTGGTCATTTCACTTCCCTTGAAGTTGGAAGGCAGAGGAAGAGGGATTCTCCAGCGGGACCTGTGGGGCAGACAGCCCTGGGCGCCACCTGCAGAGATCACCTGTTCCCTCAGACTCCCTTCCCAGGAAAGGGACCCTTTAGATGGCTGTGCTGTGGTGACAAGGTCAGGAGCAGGAGAGAGTTGATCAGTTCCTTTATGTGCCACCCTGCCGCCTCTGTTCTCTTCTTCAAGTGAAAACAATGTTAGACTTGTAAACACTACCCAAACGGATTTTGTTTTTCACCTGATTCTATTGGACTCAGTCTGGTTTCATTCTCCTCAGACTTCTTTCCTTCCAATGAACTCGGACCCCACCCCTGCTATTCCAGGGGGCACCCAGCCTCTCAGAGCTGTCTCACCCCTTACCCCCAGCAGGCAGATCCTCCTGTCACAGACTCAGAGGAGCCCCTTAGGCCTTCCCCAGCCCTTCCTTGTTGTGCCTTCCCCCCGAAACAGGGCATCTCTCCTGGGGCAAGGAGAGGTGGGGCACAGCCTCTATTCCCTGACTCAGCCTCCCTTTGCCCCATACCTGACTTCCTCCTGAGTAATCAGAATGAAGGAGGAGATGGTGGGCTTCAGTTACCCTCAGGACACTGGCTTAGGTGGGTGAGGTGACTTGCCTACTCAGCTGGGTGGTGGTCCAGCCTCCTGCCCCTTCCACAGAATCCTTCTTTGAGCTTTTCCTTCCCATCCGGATCCACCCAGACCACTGAGGAACAACCTTGTGTGCCCACCTGTCTAGACTCCGTAGCCCCTATGCCCACTGCCCAGGTGTGTTGCCCAGCTGTCCACATTCCAGCTGCAGGGTAAGACTTGAGGAACAGTAGACGGTGGGGGCGAAGTGGAGTGCCTCCCCCAGGAGCTAGCAGGGGTCTAAAGCTCTGGTGCCACCAACTTTCATGTCCTAATCGTGCCCCCAGCTTGTGGCCCTGCAGACTGACATGGCCTCCTCCAATTCCCCAGTGTCCTGATGGGGGGTGTTTCTAGGGCTGTCTGGGTCACTTAAAAGTTGGGGAGTCTCCCCACCCCCAGCTCAGCCTATGCGTTGGGGCTGGAGGCAGAACAAGAAAAGTATCTAGGGGAGGATCACACAGGCTTCTGGGGAGGCTTGGAGGAGTCCTGCAGGGCAAATGTGCAGGGCCTTGGGGAGTGTGGGTTGCTCAGGAAGGAATCCCCTGCAGGGCCTGGCAGGGCCCATGGGTGTGCTGCAGGAGGGAGCACAGGCCTTGCTCTGAGGCTGGGGCAAGGTCTCAGGCTGGGCTCTGCTGGACTTTACGGGGGCCCCTGGCCCCTGAATGACATGTGTGTGTCCCACACCTGGCACAGACTGGAGCCAACCCCCAGAGAAGGTGACCAGCAGGACAGGGGAGAGCTGGTCTGGGGATCAGAGAGCAGAGGAGGCTGGCATGGCCCGACCAGGAAGGCTTGGGGAGGGGGCTCAGCTCAGAGACTGCATAATCCCTGCTCTCTGACTGACACCCCGGCAGGGGGCCAATTAGGAAACACATTTCCTTCATGGGGCACTTGGATGTTCCAGAAGCTGCTAATTAGAACCTCAGGTCTGCTGCCCCTGCTGGGGGAAGAGCAGACCCGCTGCCGGCGGCCCCAGACCCCCTTCCTCCTCCAGGCCAGCTCGTGAGAGGCTGGACATTGTGCTGTTGGAGGACATGGGGCTGGACTTCCCCTGACCTGGGCAGTGGCCAGTGGACGGAAGGTTGGGTGGAGGGCCATGGGAAGTGGCCGGGGCCGACGGGCTCAAGGGTGCTGGCCCTGCCCTGTGTTCTCTGAGGTGAGTCTACCAGTGAGTGAGGGCCCAGCTTGGGTGGGGTTGGAGGGTTAGGGTGGACACCAGGCAAGGCAAGAGGATTGGGGATCTGGAGTGGGGGAGGGCCTCAGTGCCAAGGTTCTGCTGTGCTGCTCACATCTGGAGGGATCCTGTGACAGGGAAGGTGGTCCATTCCATTCCCACCTGTACAGAAAGGAGCTCTGGCCCCCAAGTCTGGAGACTCAGATTCCTAATTTGTGTGATTATGGACAGGGAACGTCACCAGCCTTGGCCTCAGTTTTCTCATCTGTCAAATGGAGGCATGATCAAGGAGACAGGATATCCTTCTAAGCAAGACACTGGTCATGCCCCCTACCAAGCCCGGTGCCATTTGTAAGCGTGGGGCCAGTGGGTAGGCTGTCATCTGTCACCTGGCTGACCCCTCCTGGAGCACCTCAGTCCTCTGTTGCCCTCTAGGGGAATCCAGCTCATCTTGCAAATGCTTGAAAAAGAGCCAGCAAGAAGGCCCAGCATGAAACAGTCATTCCCAGTGTACTAGCAATTCCTGCCATCTTCTCAGGAAAGCCTGGCTGTGGAGGGCCCTGCCTCTACGGAGATACTGTGAGTGAGGGTGCATGTGCAAGAGCGTGTGTGTTTGCCACAAAATTTACATCCCAGTGGGCCAGCTCAGACACAGGCAGAGCGCATCCCTGCAGAGGCTCCTGTAACTGGAAGCTGGCGCGCCAGAAACCTCTGCCAGAAGAGTCAAGTATTCCAGCTCAGCCCCACAAGTCCCTGTCCTCCCCACCATGCACAAGAGGTCTCCTTGGCTGTGCCCCTTGGCCTCCCTGTCTTCTCTTTTCTATTACCCCTTCCTTCCCCTCCTTCCCTCTTGTCTTTGTGCTCCTCAGGAAAGGGCTCCACTATTTGGTCTTCACTTGGCCTTCACTCACTTTCTCATGTGTGTGCAACCTCTCCCCTCTTACACAGCTGCTGCACACACATAGACACACACAGCATCAGACACATGCACGCACTATCACACAGGCCATCACATGCTTGCACACACTGCCACATGCACACTGTCACACACAGGCCATCTCACACACATAAATCCCTATCATGCACACACCATCACACAATGCACACACCATCACACAAACCATGGCACATGTGCATACACTATCACCCACCTGCCATCACATGCATGTATACAATAGCACACACATGCACATACTATCATACACACCATCACATGCATACACCCACTATCACATACATACACATGCTGTCACATTACTACACACGTGCACACAGTATCACACACATGCCATGGCGCACATGCACATGCTGTTACACACACGCTATCACATACTATCACAGCAACATGCATCCCAAGAAGTCTGGGTCCCTTGCACTCCATTCCCAGCCCAGTTGCTCCTTCTATACACTCATCGAGCACCTGCTGTGTGCCCATCCTGCCCTGGGTGCTGAACCTACAGATATGCTCGAGGAACCGTATGGCCTTTGAGGAGCTTAAGGCCCTTGAGGAGTCTGGGGGAGACACAGATGAGAGCTGCAGAGGAGGATGTGTGGGTGGGTTGCAGTCTGAGGTGGACTTATGCAAGGCATGGCCCATCCTCTGGGAAGGGAGAGGAGAGGGAATTCTTCTTGGAGGAGGGAGCCCATGTAGTCAATGTTCACTGGGCTGCTAGGCAGAGGAAGAAGAGCCTTCAGGCACAGCAGCCAGAAACAGGCTGGAGAAGTAGGGGAAGAGTGAGTGTGGGGGCACTGGGTGCCAGGCTGCTGTTAGCCTCCTCAGCCACATCCATATGCAGAAGCCACCCCAACCCCACTGAGAGTGGCTTCAGCCCACACCCAAGCCGATGCCACAGGTGGCCTGGGTGCTGCTACTGTCCCTTCCCTCTCCCAGGGATCCCAAAAGAGGGCAAGATGGACAGCTTGCATGCTGGAAGGTGAGATCATCTCACTTTTGCCAGTTCTTGGAAAAATTATTCGTTCCCAGAAATGTTTATTAGTCACCTCTTTTGTTGAAAGACATCTTGGCACCACCAGATGGAAAAATCAAGATGCTTTTCACACAATGATGTGTCTCAAGTGTTCCTCCTGATCCCACAAGGATTATTTCTGAGGATGCAACTCAAGAGGGAAGTTCTGCTGGCATCTGTGGGGGGAAGCTGGATCTGTCTGGCTGTGTGTATGTGTATACGTGTTTATAGGTACACACACATGTGCTTGTGTGCTTTCTTGGGGGCCTCGTGGCAGAGCTAGGCATGGGGACCACAGCAGACTTCTGCTTTATATCAACATACCCCCTAGTGCCCTGGCACCTCCCAAGGCCACGGACACCAGAGAGGAGAGGGCTTGCTGGGCCAGGGACTGTCCCCTCCACCTTTCAGGCCCTGGGCCTGGCACATCGCAGCCTTCCTTCTCATCCTTATTTACTCTTCATAGACACCTTGTGAGGAAGGGATTTTTATTCCTGTCAGTGGGATGCCGAGACTCAGCGGGATAAAATAACATGCCCAGGGTCAGGTACTCCATGACCTGAGATCTGCTTTCTGCCCCACACCAGGGAGGTGAGCCTTTGGCAGCAGGAGCAGACACAGCAGTCCCTTAGAAGGCTCAAGAATTGCTACGCTAACAGGGCCCTTGAGTCTCGGCCAGAG